CTAAGCATACTTCTTTTTCTTTTCTTCAGAACTAACTACAGAATTTGTTACTTATTAATTAAATGAGCCTTTCCCTCCTAGAGCCAATTCTTTCATAACAGAATAAGCTTGGCTTAAAGATATATATATATATATATATATATATATATATATATAATTTGTAAACTTATAAATATGCATATATATATTCTTAACAACACCCCATGGTAAACAAAGCCAGTCAAATTCTAATGGGATTTTGATATGAGATTGAGCAAATTTCACCATGGGAAGCACAAAGAACTAAAGGCAGCAGTGTATTATCACATACTAGCTGAAAATAATCAAACCATCCTGTATGGGCACAAATTTTGTGATGTATGTATTACACATATATTTAATTATCTCAAAACTCTACAAAGTAGATACAATTATCCCCAATTCCATGGAGACAGACTGAGAGCCATGATGAAACTTACAAGGTAATATAACAATTATTAGATGGAACAGAAATTCAAACCCAAGTGTCTGGCACTGAAATCATTACTCCTCTCTACTGCTATGCCTTCTCTTAGCAATTAGAGCACTGGGAAGAATGAAGCAAAGTGAAACTCTTTCTTTAAACCACCTGACAATACGTTTGCCATCCCATCACTCATGCCAAACTGAAGTTAAAAGGAGAGACCAGAAGTCAGAAAACATGTCTAAGCCAAAATCAGAAGTCCAGATGCAGAATTCTGTACATGGGAAAGGAGCTAAAGGAGAGACACAGGGAAGGGAAGCCTAAGCAGATTTCCTGTCTCTCTATATAGACATCAATTTTCTTTCTTAGCCCTAAAAGTCTATACCATTACTTTTCACTCTTTTAAGTACCTGTGATGCTATTAAACCAGTAATAGAAGAAAAAGTTGATAACTATGCAAGCAGTAGTACACTTTTATTGTGAAAGTAAGTCAAGAGTGCTCTAAATGCGCCTCAAGAATTAAAGTTTTACATGTCATAATACCTCAGCAATAATATAAGTTGATTCAATAACTGCTTTATTCCTATTAATCCACATATGTATATATTTAAAATTAGTTTCGATTTTTGTTATGATTACTGTAAGCTCTAATTTCAACTCGTCAGAAACTCAACCAGAAAATTTAAATGAATGGAATTACTTTTTTTTCCACATAAAATTACATATTTTGATGAAAAAGAGACAAAGACAAGTAAGGAAAGAGCAAACAGAATTGTACTTTTAAAATTTAATTACGTTTTTGAGAATCTGAGAATGGCATACCTCATTTCCTTGGTAATCATGTTACCTATACTAATTCACTCTATTATTATTTGTTCTGGAGTATATCATTAATATAGTAACGAGCCAGAAAAATGAAAGTTCTAAACTAAAACACACACACACACACACACGATGCTTATTTTAACGATCATGAAGCAAATTTTGAATTAAAACATAATTAAATTATCTTTAAAATAATAATGAAATTGATTAGGGTAAATTGGGAGCCAGCCAGGCATAGTGTTTGAGAAAACAAACTCAGTAGAGAAACAGGAGAGAGAAAAACTGAACCAAGTGAGCCCATCTAGAATGGCCAGAGGGGCAAATGGCTTGACAAGAGGCCAAGGAAAGAAACAGCAACTAGGCCTGGAAGGGTTAGTAGGGTGGGGTAGAAGGTCTGGACTTGTGTGTGAGAGTAGCAGGAAACCACTGAAGAGTTTTACCCAAGGGAGTTGCACGATGGGATTTACGTGGTTTAAGAGCTCACTCACTCTAGCTGATGGAGGTAGGGGCAAGAATCAATAATGAGGAAAGACGTTACAAGACCACTGCAGTGTTTCTGCAGAAGTTGATGGTGGCTTGAAAAAATGGTGGCAATGAATATGGGGAGAAGGAAACACATTTTAGATAAAGGAGAGATCTTTGTGTGAAAGAACCTGCATAATAGAGGCAGTAAATATTTGATAAATGAGAGAATGAATTGTTTTAGAAAGACATTAATTTCCAAAAGTCCTTGTATGCTGGACTTTTTCCTCAATAAACTGAACAAGGTGGCCCATTTTATTCAGCATTTTACAAAAAAGGAAAAAACAAAAACAGGAAAACATTAACTTTTATGCCCTTTCCCATGCTAAAAAAAGATTTTCCAGATAAATGATGCTTACGTCTTCAAATAAATATTCTCACACCACCCGTAACATTTAAAAATACATATAAAAAGATCCTTATTTTTTTAGATAAAAAGGATGCCGGATTTTGTATGTTTTCCCTAATATTCGAAATCATTATTATCTTTCTTAAATTCTTCTTTCCTCACCAATTAAGCCCTGCTGATTTCTTTACAAGTACTTCCTAAATAGTTAATATGTTTTCCATAAAATGAAATGCCCTTCAACTTCTAGGAAGTTTTAAGGAATATTTTCTTGAGATTTCTTTCTTATTTTCACTCTTCAACATGTCCCTATATCCTGCAGATGACCACCTTTCCTACTTCACAGAGGATAGCAGGCAGAAATTCCTCAATTTACTGCCCTGCCCTGGCTCCTCCAATATAATCTACATCACACCAACTATTTATTTCACCCAGTCTCAGTGGAAAAGAGAACTCCTACCCAGTTTCTCTTACCTTGGTAGAAAAGTGTCCTTCATGTACTTTAATAGAGTGGAATGGTTGACCACAGTTCTGGATCTCTACAATCTCCACCCTACAATTCTCAGTTCACAGTTACAACAACCATTCCCTTTCCTGTGCTTCTAATCTCTCTATAACTGGTTCTTCCTCACCAGCATGTCCGTATTCATGTTTCTTTCATTTCAAAACCACCCTTTCCAACAACTACTTAATTTCTCTTAAAAAAAATCATCAAAGGCTGTATATATTCTTTTACTTATTTGATGGTTGGGTATTTCATTATTATACCCATTTTATTTCATTGTTATTTTTTAAGAACAGTTAATACCTTTATTTATTTTTAAGTAAGCTCTGCACCCAATGTGGGGCCTGAACTCACAACTCTGAGGTCAAGAGTCACATTTTACTGACTGAGCCAGCCAGGTGCCCCATTATTGTACCCATTTTAAAGAGGACAGAAAGGCTCAGCAAGTTTAAATAAATGTCCCAAAAGCTATATAAACTATAAAGCAGTTTGGACAGAATTTAAATTAAGATATTCTCAAAGGCTTTACTTTACTTTGTAATGTAAAGCTTAATGCCAACAATGTCATTACCTGTAACTATTGCTTTTTATGTGTTTGTTTTTTTAAACAATAACAATAAAGATTCGAACCATACCACTTAAAGAAATATATATGAATAAATACAGAATGAACTTATCTTTTAAGATGTGTGACTGTACTAGTACAAGAACTTTTCCCCCCTGATTTTTAACATTATAAAAGCTGTTATTAAATATCAAAGTGTTTACTTCCGATAGTACTTTAAAAACAGCATAAATGGTAATAAAGTATTACTTGCATTTTGCTTTATACTATAAAACAATAGATACAAAGATGTAATTTACATCAAAAGGGAGTACATTTTAGGCAAAATGTATTTTATAAGCCTATTTATTTATTTATCCAAATTCAGTTTCATCAGGAAAAGATAGTCCAAGGAACTAATATTAGAAGGACAGTCTAATTATACATAATTCAACAAAATAATGACTATCACCTCAACTAAGTAACATCGAGAACTACAGAAGTCTACTACTACTCATAGTAGATAATTCTTAGTTTGCTCCATTACATTATTTTTTTTCTAATTTCTTAGCTATCCTTTTCAATTAAGTTAGACAGATGATTCCTTCCACAAAATTAACTACTTCGTGTCAGTACACTTTCGTCACTAAAGTCTTTAACTGTATTGCTTTATTTTATAAACATTCATTAAGGGCCTACTATCGGCAAGGAACTCTGTCAGGAGCTAAATGTAGAAAGATGGAAAATGGGTGACATAGCCGTTATCTGACGTAGTTCAGGAAGAATGTTCAAAAGTCACAGGTGACCTCATGAAACTTCTGAAAGTACATTCATTTAAATAAAAACATTTAACCAAATTAATACATAGCATAGGCAAATTATATACAAATTACAATTTAATATATATTAATAACTAATGTACATCTCCACAGGACTATCTTTCTCAAATGTCACAGCCTCTGAAGGAACACGATAAAATCTTTGGTTATACTAAGGAACTATTTTTCTTTTCAGAAAATGTAAATTAGCTTCTTTCTGTGTATATACAAAAGTGCCACTAGTGTGGAAAGGAATGTGAATATTTTCATATCTGTGCATGGCCAGGGCTTTCTGAGCATAGAAAAACAGAATTTGGGTTAAAGGACAAACCTTGGAAATTGAAAGATGGCTGAATAGATAGTAAGAGACTTTTGGAGTGATTTACCTCCCAGGAGGGAAACGTTAACATTTCAAAGGGGACTAAAGCCTGGAGCCATATATTTATATACCATAGGATTTTTCAACAGGGAGTTGTGTTTTCTCTTCCTCTCTCAGAAGGAGAGGAGGGCAGCTGTATAGGAGCTTCTCTACAAATGCCTAGATCAATAATCTCGGGGTTCCTCTCCTGTGGTGGAAAATCTTCCTTTTAGTACTTGCAGGTGCCACTGTCTGTCTCTCTTCACAATGCTCCTGGTGTGGAGGGGGATGGAGCATTGGGAACAGATATGGTTATTGCTCCAAGAAACAACAGTCTGCCCAGATACAGAAACCATGTATTTGCTTTCAGGGCAAAATACGTGAAGTGTACATATTAAAAACTTATCATGTTGCATATCAGAGTTTAGGGGAAAAAAGCTTTTTTGGAAGATACAGCTTCATTATACTGATTTTCAGGCAGATCAAGTCATCTCAACAGTCAATAAATGATCTTATTCAGCAAAGACAACACATTGATCCTCTTCATTTTGTCACAAGATTTCAGTGGAATTAGAAGTCAGGATGATTTAGAGCACCAAAGTTAGGCTGGCTAAAGGAAACAAAAAGAAAAATCACTTACTTGATATTATCAAGGCAGCCCGATTCAGGCTTCAGAATGGCCGTATGATGGAACATTTTATAGAGAGCAATCCCAAGGAAGATGACATTAAGCTGGAATGTAAAGAGTACGATCATGTAGCATAACCGGAACATAAGAAAAAAAGGAAGTCTATTCTCCATACGGATGAGTTGTTCTGGGAAATTAGCTCTCACTAGACTTAAAAAGGAACTTGATCATAGATGATTGCCTGGTATTTTAGTGAAGGCAAAAAGCCACTGTAGGGAATTGGGATACCAATGAGTTACAAAGCACTATTATGCCAAAATACATACAAATACAAAATCAGCAGCAGTTGGAAGGATGCTGTGGAAATCGTAAAGCAACTCAAAGCCAAGTGTATGTTTAAAAAAATATACACAGGTGTGTTACTATTTCTACCATCTGAACATGGCCCCCAATTTGTTGTTCAGGGATATGTTTTGAAATGCTATGTTACAAATCATAAATACTAAATCAATATAGTTTTGAATAGCTACATCAAAAGGATTATAAAATACTGGTTAATTCTAATGCTACAACAAACTAGGATGAAAATACTGTTTTTGATGTATGTCCCACAGCCAGTGATACTGTTTTGTCAGTGATACTGTTTTGTCCCTGGAAGCAGAGAAGGCCCAGGACTTAAAACAAAAAGGTCCAGTGTGAATTCCATATATCACGTATATGTAAACTGTATAGAAAACTGCATATTCAATTGCACTTGTGACCTGGTTTGTTTATACGTTCCAAAATTTATGATTGGTGGAGACTAGGAAAATCCAATTAAAAGCCCTCCTCAATAATAAAGGTCTACAATCCTTTAATTCCAAAAGTCTGAAAAGTAAAAGTTTTAAAAAATTCATTGAGTGGCCAAAAAGCCTAACCTTAACTAAACCCATTTGATGGGAAAACCTGATTTGTACTGACATAAGACTCTTCTGTCTTTATTCTGCTTGCTCCTACTTTTCCAATTTCTTTTTCTGTTGAATTATTACTGTGTTTGGTTTCAGAGTCCTGCCTAGTCCCTACTGTGAGTATTGGTAGATGTGTTTGATTTGGGGCAACTGCTTACTCTCTACAAGGAATATTATATAATAGGCAATACATGTACCATATTACTTTTCTAAAGTCTGAAAACTTTCTAAATTCTAAAATATACCTGCTTCAAGGGATTTCAGATAGTGAATTGAAAATCTATATTTTATTCAAAATCAAGAGGCCATTTAATTTTATAAAAAATGGAGAACAATTTTGTATTGTAAAATCATGAGTACATAAATAATAATACTAAACGTAGAATCTAAATTAGGATAAGTAATTCATATGTGAAATCGAGACATTATGCATCTAAAAATTCAAAAGAAAGTATGATTCCAGAATGCTTGCTTAACGATTTTTGCCATTCTCAAGTGAAATTCTTTTGGATTTCAAAGTTTTTGAGATGTTTATAAAAAACAAAACTGGAAGGAATAGTAAGGTATAGGACCGCATTTCCAATTTCCAATTCCATTCATAACTCAAATTATCCGAATGAAAAAGAAAGGAAATATATCTTTGTGAAACTTGAAGTCATTGCTGTTCAAAAACCTACAAAACCAAGTAGCTTATGTGAGGTCGGGCTCTTTTCTTCTCCAACATTTTTGATTAAGTATTTTATAATATAAAAGTAGATTATACTGAGTGTCTAACTGCTTGAGTTATAGAAGGTCGGATAAGTAGATGATTTCCCCCAAAATAATCTATGTAAATCAAGCATAGTCAGTGCAAGCATCACGGAATTTTCAGTTCTTGACCTGGGAAACACATAGTTAATGAGGAGTTCTTACCATTATTATCAAGGTCGCTGGTCCTATAAAGCTCCAAATGAAGTAGGTGTCAAGTCGGAGCCAACATCTGCAAAGAAACACAAGGGAGAGGAGGTATTCAAGGACTGGCTGTGGGACATATATCAAGAGTGAGCGAGTGACAGAGAAGAATGTGAACTGCAAAGCATTCCACTGGGAGACAGGAAATATTACATTGCTTGTTCATTTAAATGTTGAATTATGTGCCCAATTTCTGACAGCACTATTGATGGAGTAAGATAATTACCCCGGGAGGAAGCAGGGGAAAAATGGCACTAGGCCTATTTGCTAAGGCCTTTTGTGTCTGTCATAGAAACCTTAGGAAAAAAAAAAAGGAAAAGAAAGAGAAAAAGCCATACACATAGCCATTAAATCGAGCAGCTTTAAGCTATCCTTTTCTCTCCAATTATGGTGCTACATAACCTGTCTATCAGCTGTCAGGCAAAGTGACATTTTCCTGTCAAGAAGATCTGAGGAAATTCAGTCCAAAGAAGAAATAAATTTGGTATCAGAAGACTTGGGTTTAATTAGGTTGGGCAGCCAACCTTTGAGAGCTCTTGTCTTAAAAAAGTGCATTGTTACTGCCAGTGCTCCTGGGGTTGCAAATGGTCCTTAGCATCCCACGAAGTTGATTCATAACCCAAAAGTAAATTATTAATCACTTAATTTCAGTTACATTTAATACTCCCCCAATTCTTAAAGCCTCTGGGAAATTACATTTTCATTCTTCAGGATGACAGGAAGACAAAATGGAAGTGACTAGTTATGAGAAAGATTAATGTAAATTTTGAACAAATTACATTTGATGTAAAAAATCGTGTCTTGAATTGTTTGCCATTTTGCTAGATTTGAGGGATAATTAAAAAAAAAGAAAGAAAAAGAAAAAGAAAACATCTCCAGTGGACAATATTCAAGAGTGGTTTGCTAAGTGCTACTGCTTGATTATTATGAAAATGTTATTCAAACTTCAGGATTAATGGAATACCAGAGAAACCATGAAGAAAAGCACTTATCAATGTCCATCAGTAGAGGAATGGGTCAATAAAGTGTTTTCTCTTCATATGATGAAATGTTGTAAAACAGTTAAAAGGGAAGAGGTGGATCTTTATGTGTCAATGAGTAGACCATGATAACGAATTTTAGCGAAAAAATAACATGAAGAAGCTATGCCATATACCGTGTGCCATATACCTTTGAACACATAGTTGACCCTTGAGCCACATGGGTTTGAATGGTGCGGGCCCACTTGTATGTGGATTTTTTTCCCAATAAATACAGTCCAGTACTGTTATTAAGTGTATTTTCTCTTCATTAGGATTTTCTTTCTTTCTTTCTTTCTTTTTTTTTTTTTTTTAAGATTTGGGGCACCTGGGTGGCTCAGTCAGTTACACACAGGACTCTTGATTTCAACTCAGGTCATGATCCCAGGGTCTTGAATCGGGTCCTGCATCAGGCTCCCTGCTCAGTGGGAAGTCTTCTCCCACTCCTCCAGCTCTATTCCCTCTCTCGCTGTCTCTCTCTCTGTCAAATAAATAAAATCTTAAAAGAAAAAGAAAGATTTGATTTTCTTATTTGAGAGAGAGAGCAGAGAGAAAGAGAGAGCACAAGGGGGTGGGCAGAGGGAGAGGGATTAGCGGGGCTCCATCTCAAGACCCTGGGATTACTACTTAAGCCAAAGGCAAATGCTTAATGGACTGAGCCACTTAGGCGCCCCAGGTTTCCTTGATAATATTTTGTCTTCTCTAGCTTACTTTATTGTAAGGACATGGTATATATTACATATAATGTACAAAATATATGTTAATCGACTGCTGATATTATTGGTGAGGCTTCTGTCTGATCAATTGTAGGCTATTAGTAGTCAAGTTTTGGGGGCATCAAAAGTTAAATGCAGATGGTGGATGGCATGGGGGTCAGGATTCACAGCTGTTCAAGCTGTATATTTAAAATAATACTCATATTTTTAACAGATATAATATACATATGTAATTTTTTTGATTGAAAGGGAAAAAAAAATCAAACTCATGTTAGTGGTTGCCTCTCTCATGAGAGTAGGACAATAAGTGGACCAAAGGGCTTAACCATATGTTTTATTTTAATAATTGAAAGCAACATGCCAAAATGACAATAGCCTAACATCTGAGCGATAGAGGCAGTGATGTTTATTATGTTTTTCTTTTTATTTTCCCAAGACTTAGTTTTTCTTTTTTTAAGTTAAAACCTGGATTCCTAGGCAAAACAAAAATAACCATATACCAAAGAAAATAATTTTAAAACAACAAAATCTGACTTTCTTCTACTAAGGTAAGTACATGTAAACTAATTTCAATAGAAATATAGTATTTGTACTCCAAAAAGTAACTGATTACTAGTTCACATTTTTTACATAGATAATTTCTCTTTATTCAAGATACACATAATAATCCTATTTGAAAAAATCCATATTTGAAGAAATCCATACTTAAACTATTAGCTATTAGTTTAAGGACTTATCTTCTTATTGGTCAGTTGATCTCAAAATGTGGTCATGGAAAATGGAAGTGTGGTACTGTCAATAAGTAGAAACAAATTAGAAAATTCAAGTTTGAAATATGAACATTATGTTCATGCTGACCATAGGCTAGTTTATTATCACCCTAATAAAGGTGTGTGCATGTGTGGAGGGGGAAGACCAGAGCCGGGGAAATGTTCTTAAGTCTCTCTTATTCTCAACAAAGATGATATTTTCCCTCAAGATAAGAACAATAAAAGACAAAGCCTGGACATTTTACCAGATTAAACACACATGCACACATGTGCCAGCACACACACATACACATTCACACACATTCCAAGCATGTTGCTGAAATTATAACATGATACAATAATAATAATAAATTTTAAAATGACTGTTACCAGTATAGCTCCTGTTCCTTGTAGGTCAAACAAGTTTTTGAGAGCTAATCTGAGACGTAAAACACATTTTTAGCAAATTCTTTTAAAAGGAAAATGTGCCTCAAGAATTTCTGAAAAATGTTATTATACAGGTTAAGGGGTTCTTATACAAATAATTTAAATTATATTATTACAGAGTGCCTTAGACTAGGTAGGGGATTTTAAAATGTTAAAAAATCTCACCAAATGTGTTATTAAAATAAAATAACGTTATTAAATTTTAGCCTCACAAAGCTTTACTTTTTTGAAAACAGTTTCAGCAAATGCTTAGTTGGAAATAAACATGCTTTTGGCACCGTGATCTTTAAATGTAAAACTGAAATTACTTTAGAAGTTATTATTTTTTTATTTTTAAGAAAACACTTCAATATCTATTTGGTATAATAGATTTAAGTTCCCTTTGGGACTGAATGGTGTAAGAGGCAATATGAAACACTTAAAATGTACTGAGTAAATCATCCCTTCATGAGAGCTGCCTGGGCTTGACTACCTTCTGGAAGGCAGTGTGGCAAAAATCCCTTTTCTAATTCGATTGCCATATGGCCATACCTGCTGTTGTTTTTGGCCACATGCTGGCTTTCTCAGAGCTTTCTATAGTTTCTCTCTTTCCCAGTAACTACCTTAAAAGTTTGTGTGATTCCTGCCCTGGGTTCCCTGTGCCAGTAAAGCAGAGAGTTATGCGGGGTATTTATCACATGCACAGGCCTATATATCCCATGACATGGTATTCTAGAAGTCTAGGCCGTTCAATGTCACTTGGATATAGTGAAAATGTGCTGGTTAAGAGGAGACAAATGTTAGAGGAACAACTTATCACACTAAGTCCAATAAAGTCCAGCTTGCAAATGGCCAAGTAGAGTTGCTATTGAGAATATAATTTATCTGAAAATTGCCTTTATCCACTAAGCAACATTTAATTCGTGAAATCATTAATTTTAATAGACCATTCGTGTTAATTTTTAAGATATGTCAATTTCTTTTTTTAATGAAATTCAGTCATATGAATATAATTTATGAAGTATGTTTATAGCTGTACTGTAACAAAAGAGATGACTTGCTATTGAAAAACAAGTATATCCTAGGGTTACTACATGCTTATTTGAAATAATACTGAAAAATCTTAAAAGACCAGATATATTTTGGAATCTAAAGGAGTACTTGTCACATATCATACACCTTGACCTTTTTTTTCTCACTTGCCTAAACACGAAGATGTCACAAAAATTATTTCTGTAGCATTTTCTTTTTCAAATTGTAAAAGCAGCATATATTGTTACATATTTGATGAAACCTTATGACATTAATTCAAGCTTATTGATTTAATATGCAAAAGAAATGGTGCTACTCCATAAGGATTCCAGAGTTACTGTCTTCCAAAATCTAGGAAACATTATTGCAAATTAAATAATAACATGCTGATATCTGGATCAGTCTTCCTCAAAAATGTCTGTTACCAATCCGTAAGGACCACTTTCATGTTTACTCAGAAAAGAAAAAAATAAAATAATGAAACAACTTAATTTCTCAAAACAGGACAACCGAAAACCACACTTCCAAAGCTTATTCTCTCCTACTCTTAAACTACTCACCACTTTATTTTCATCAGTCATTTTAAAAATGTATGATTCTGTATTTAGAAAAATGGTAAAGCCAGTTACCCAACATATATAAATGTCACCTAAAACCTATGTTTTACAATGATTTTAGATAACAGTAACATTACCAGAGTGTAGTTTCTTATTCCAATTAGCATGTTAAATATAGTGCAATTAAAATGCTTCAGGACATTGTGTTTTTGTCGCCTGTTTAATTCACTCTTATCAAAGTAGACATCTGACTACTCATCAGTTTTGTGAAATAACATAAACTAACAATGGTGTTTGCTTATTTTCTACAGGACCCTACATTGCAGGCTGAACCATCCTTGGTGACTATTAAATGTAGTCAGTAAACAATCTTTGGCTACTATTAGACCATAAAATTTACAAGGCTTAATTATATCAGGTTGTTTATGAGAGTTTGTATAATACATAATCTGTTTTTCTCTGTAACATATGCAGATCTCTTTATATTTCTACTACATATATCTGGGAAGATTGAGAGAGAAAAGAAGGA